GAGTGTATCACGCTGTGCATCGGACAAGCGGGCTGCAACATCGGCGAGGACGGGCCAGTGTTCGCCAGCGGGTTCGGGCGATGGACGGGAAATAGAAGCCGTGGTGAGTCCACAAAGTGCTGCAAGTCCACAAAGGACTGGTTCCGGTTTCAGGTTGTTTCGATGAAAAACCACGATTCGCTCAAAAACGGAGGTTTTTTGGTCCCTTCATGGTGGAGTCACTCTAAGCCATTTATAGCCATTTTGTCGGTGCCGGAAAGTTACAACAACATGTTTGGGAGCTGACAGTCGCTTTCTGTCAGAAGGGTATTGGTTGTAAAGAATTTGGCTTGTGCCATATTGGGATCATCAATTTCTTGGGTTGGTGATCAGATGTTGCAACTCCTGGAGGCATCCTGGCAGGATGTGGCAGGGCATCTCTCAATTAACAAACCATTGCCAGGGGCACTCGCCCGGACCCTGAACCATTCTTGTGAACGCCAGCCTTGATGAATTATAAACCGTTTCCAAGCTGTTCATCCAAATTCTGCTGGGAAAGATAGTTGGAAACATCCAGAACCTAGAAGTAACCATCGCTCACATTGTTCCGCAGGTATAGGGAGAGAGCTGGACCCCCTGAACCTCCGTTGTTAACCCCAGCAATTCTTCAACAATCCCTGCATGTGGAAAAAATAGGTGTGTTCCAGAATAGGGAGACCCACACTGAACGGGTAGACTGGTCTATTTCCTTCTTCCCAGGGAGTCCTTCACTGCCAGGTGTCCCTATTGCAATACAGATTGTACTCAGGATCTTGAGTGGCTGAGTGGCCGCTGTGAACGACCCGGATTGCACATACCCTCGATACACCAGATGCGACTCTTCCTTCCTTCCACCGATTTCTACGGGGAACTGAACCGATGGCAGAAAGACCCGATGGCATCCCCGCCCTCACATCGAGGACGTGTGGGAACTCTTCTGCGTGGAGCATCAAGTGGAGCCCGATGGCACTCGTCGCCCGGAGTTTTTTTCTTTTGACAATGGCCAGGGCGCATGTTCTGGAGGATGGACATGCTGGGGAGTTTGCTTTGATGTGCTTTTTTTGAACCATGAGTTCTGGCGGGAGTGAAACATTTAGTTTTTTAATTGATGACATTTGGACTGCAACTGCAATTGTTGCAAGATCCTAGATGAGTGGTGCAAGGTTGCGTAAGGTGTCTTCCGAGACAACAGAATGTGTATCTCTTTCTCTAGTAACTTAGTAGTTTCACGCCCGAGAGTTAATGTAGCAAAACATGACAGGTTGACATGAATCCACACTCATACGTTCAAACGCAAGTGCCCAATAGGACATTGTCATGAAAAGACATCACCAACTTCCCGACCAATGTTTCACCCCATCCAAACGGCCGTGTTGCCTTGCCTTGCGGACAAGTGGATGGTGGTGCTTCAGAGCACCAGGCCATGAGGCATCCACATGTGCATGAGCCTTTTGGCAAACCACGCGGTCGAACTCGCTCTGCGGTCTCGCTGCCCGACCGGCCTGCTTCGGCCTCGGCACGGCGAGGCCGGAAGTTGGAGGAGAAGAGGAAGTCAGAGATCATCTCCGAGGAAGCAGACTCCGCCTTTCGATGCTGGGCGAGCATGAGTGCGATATGTGAGAATGGTCGTTCCTCTCTGATGTCTTGGTCCGGGTCAAGAGATGGCAGCAGCCCAGTTTTCAGAGTGCGGATGATGAAAGAGAGCGACTTAGTCTTTAGGTGGGGTTGTAGAAACAGTGAAGTTGTCAATGGATTGCCATGGATAACAACAGAAGATGTTCTGTGTTAACAGAATCGACCAAACGTAAAAATCTAAAATCTCTTATACAAACTCAGATTCCGATGCCTGTGACAGTAGAGGATAAGACTCATCTTCACCACAGCTGTCTAGTCATATCTAATCTAGCGTTTCGACCAATGCTGGTGTGTACCACAGCCTGTTGGGTAGCCCTATACTTCTGATGTCCTTGTACGCGGGTGTGTATTCAACCGTGTCAATGTATGCCAGTACGCTTGCGCACCAACTCCGTGTGGGCAAGCACCGACCACTCTGCTGAAACGAAGCCCTACACCTCCAGTCGTACCTCCTCAGGTTCGGTATGACTGGACCCTTCTGGCACCCACCCCAGTCCCACCTTCTAAACGAAGGTACGACTGGAGGCCTAGGGCAGTAAAGCTGTCTCCCACTTGCCTGACTCAGATACGATTGAGATATGTAAGACGATGAGCCGGACTCTTCCAGGGTTTTCTCACTGGGAGCTTGGTATCTTTTAGTGGATGGCATCTTCTTTTTCTCCCATCCAAGAACCATACCAACAACATCCTCTTCATCACCAGTCAGACTGAAAGCTCGTCCTGTCCATTCTGAAGCGCTTGCCCTCTCCTGTCGATGCTATAGACCAGGTCAGGTCGACAGGTGCCTCGTGCCTCTTCAGGATCGTTCTTCTCGGACACCCACGCCAGCCCCGCGCAGTACGTACCGCGGAGCATCTTCGTGGACACGGACCCCTCCACGCGCGACGAGATGCTCACGGGGCCAAACCAAAAGCTCTTTCACCCGGAAAGTGTCTTAGGCTCCTCGGCGATCCGATCCTGGAAAGGGATGAGCTGTGAGGCAAGGAGCTGTAGCGGCCGATGAGCTGTGGAAAGAGACCCTTGCTGTGTTCATGTTTGAATGTTTTGTTTTCGCTTCTGGGCATGGGTTCGAACAGATCCAGAGAAAGAGAGAGAGAGATGTTGGATGAATCTTTCAAAGTTTTTGCAAGGGCATGCTGAAGAGCTACTCCTTTCCGCAGGTCGAGGCAGTGCATCGTGTATCTGTAGTCACTGTAGTCACACACACATAGTAGTATATACGGTATGTCTCAAGCTTTGGAGGATGTCGCTTGTCACACAAAAGTAAGGATGTTATGTCATGTTTGTTTCGGCAATTAAGAACATGCGACAACGCAAGACACCATATTTTAGGACACCTGGTTCGTGTTGTGAAGATTGGTTCCTTCTACGGACTTGGCGAACGTACACAAGTCCCGGTGACGAGACTTGGCGTTTTTCTCAGTAGAAGAACTCTATCCTACCACGAGGGGTTGGAGCGGCGGAAATCCGCTTTCTCCAATACAGTAACCATGCTTTTTCCATGGAAGTCCCACAGACTCTGTTTTTTGGGGTGACGCCCGTCCTGGACCCCCAGCCTTTCGTCTTCCAGCCCGTCAGGGCCGAACAGTTCGTCGTAGGTATACGGGACACCGCACGATAAAGGAAGGCGCAACCCTAAACCCAACAGATGTTGAACTGAGATTGTAGGATCACTTTGCCATGATTCTTGGGAAAAGCATCAAATCTCCTCGAGCATCATGGACTTAATACTATCCCGAAGCCTTCTTCTTCAAGTGTTGCATCCAATATTTCCTCATTCTTCGCCGAGGTTACGCCCTGGAACATTAATGTAGACACTTGATAAACAAACCTACCCATTTGAACTGGAAATCCTCTTCATATGGAATGGGTGGTTGAAAAATCAAGAGTTTTCATGAACATGGAACCTTACATACGTCCCTCCTTCTTCGGGTTGTAGAAGGAAATCGGAGGTCGGAGTTGAGCGCCAGCTCAGCTAGCTTTTTCCTGCCCGAGGTTACAAGCAAGACTGCCGAAACATCTTCTTCGAGGCGGGTCGGGTGGACCGGTTTCATGGTGAACCGAGGTGAAGAGATGGCAACCAACTGTTCGTCCAGGAGTTTCAAATGTACCAAATGGAGTTTCGTCCGTCCATGGTACTGTTCGTCCTCCCAAAAAAAAAGACAGTACCAGGAGTTTCAAAGGGGGTGCGATCCATGGAGGTAGGAGGGGTGCCCATTACCCACTCACTGGATGGGACGAGCCACACCACCCGGTCTTGTGACCCCTGGTACAAGTGGGTGTACGTTTATATAGGCCTTTTCTGTTCTTTTGGCCTCACGTTTTGTGTTTTTTTCTCCAAAAAGATCAGAATGTGCTGCGAAGCACATTCTGCCACCGAAGCATTCCCCCCCTTTTCATATCCTTCTGAAGATGTTGGAACTCCTTTCTTTTGCACGTTTGCTTGATCTCATTCTGGACGCTTTCGGGGGCTCAGGACCGGCCTTCGGGCTGTCGAAAGAACGCCGCGTCCACCGCGACCGCGTCCACCGCGCCAGGGGCGAAACATGGCCCGGACCTTTCAGATTAAGGAGCGGTGGATTGCAGGGTGTGGCGGGAAGAAAAGACACACAATTCACAATTGTGGGGGATGTGTGGATGAGACAGGTGATTGCTGGAACGAGCATGGCGCCGGGATGGCCCCATGGCGACTCGGAGGCCGTCCGACGGTCCTCATGCCTAGCACAGCTCGGTGACTAGGTGAACTCCCCTGAACTGTTCCCAGGGAACTTCTTCGCTTCTTTCGACCAGGTTCGGTCCAGATTCTTTGAGCAGGTCGGCTGCCAGCGCAGCTGGCCCTGTGGCAACCCAAGAACCCACGGCAACCCGAAAGCTTCGGTTGATGTGTTCCTTTGGGTAGCTGGCGGGCGCGTTGGAGAGCTGCACTAGTGGGGGGGGTCACAGTTGTTTAGCGAGATGCTTTTCTTTTTTCCATCTACAGCAATGGGTCCATGTGATGAAGTCCAACGGTCCAATGGTCTGAAGTCCAATTTGTTTTTGTTTATATGAGTTCGGGTGAGATTCGGATGACTGGTCTTCTCAGCATGACCCAGCAAGTGAGCCAGTGGAGGTGTTGAGGCTAAGGTCCGTTAAGGAGGATGCCATCACCCTCCTATGTGTTATGTTTTTCCTTTTTAAATCTATACTCATCTCAGAATTGGGGTTCTCTTCCGAACTTCCCCCCCCTCCCAGACTCTTCGTCACCACAAGACCGCCCTTCACCAAAAACGCACCGGCCTCGGGTGGCCTCCAGGCTTTCGCCGCCCCGTGTCTTGGTTGCGCGCCCCCGGCGCTGCTAGGAGGATGTCATGGATCGCGTCCGTTTGGCGGTGGATCTTTGTTCCAACCTTCAAGGCTTCAGCTGTTTTGTGCCGGGTGGAAACGGGTCGGTTTGGACGGCTTTGTTTCGACGGCCGGTGCTTTGGAGCGGAGGAGGGTTGGTTAGGAGAGAAGATGAGAGAAGGAGCCAAAGCAAGAGAGATGTTGTCCAAATTTGTCCAATCAATAGTTAACGCGTTCACTCACTTCTTTCGTGTATGTGTTTTTGGTGGACAGTTGTCCTGTGTTCCACAGCAGGTGAACGGTAACTCATGACCAAGCCAGACGCTCTGTTCACCAGCCCGGCTGGTCCCTCAAAACCTGACGATTTGAGATCCCAGACCCCTCCAGAGGATTCTGGTCCCATCTCTCCCTATGAGTCAGGGTCCAGGAGCGCCTGGGAAGGATTCCAAGTGGGACCTGGCTTTTAGGACTCAACTGGTGCACGGAGGGAGCTGAACTTCAAGCGAGAGCGAGGGTATCCAGTTCTTCCATGTTCTTGCCGGGGACGACCCCGGAGCTGGATGGCCGACACCGGACCCCGGACCCGGTCGACCGACCTAACAGTATACTATATCGCGTAGTATCTCTCGCGAGGCTTCTTCGTGTTCCATTCCTTTGGCGGTGGTACTGGCTCGGGCCTGGGCTGCGATATTCTGCACGATTTGCATGACGCCTTTGACAAGAAGCCTGGCAGCGGAAGGGGGGGACCAGGCGGACCTGGGATGACCACAAAAACATGTCAGGTGGTGGGACACTTGGCGGGGTCACAAATCTAAGCCTTCTTTTCTTGAGACACCCTCAACGGTTTTCTCAAAGTTGGGTGACCAGTTGGGTGTAGTTATAAGCTATAAGTCAGGATTAATAAACCCCCTCTAGTTAATCCGAGCCCACAAAGGTGTCGGAAATTGACCTCATGAGTGGTATCTCATGTCTTCTTGACCTTGTTGACCTACCCCCGGTTATTGATCCGGTCTTAACATAAACAGGTCTTAGACCCGAAACCAGAGCCTCTTGGAGCGGTGCTTAATGATTTTGGGGACACCGGGCTGTTGGAGGGAGAGCGAGGTGGTCAGGCTGTGATGAGGTGGTCGTGTCTCGGCAGATGAAAGGTCCAAAGTTCTTTGACCTTCCAATGGAAAAAACATACGAATCTCCCGTGGTTTCTATGGATGTCTGTGGATATCTATGGATGCAACTTACTGATTGCACGTTGATCCTTACATGTACTAGCTATGAAATGCAGATGCCTTGTGCTTACAAAATTCAAACTGCCATTTCCAGGGGTCATTTTATATAGAAACATGTGTGCCATATGACAGGGGACCCTGGAAAGATAAGATCATGTAGGAGAGGGAGGTGCATTTTATTAAACAAAAATACAGGTTCCAGAATATGGATGCCTTATGACATTGACCGGAGTGTGCCTGAAGTATTGTCATTTTATAAAGTGTTGGTTCTAACATTTTATTGAGACCGCCTTGCAGATCATTTTATAGCAGCTGTTGTTGCTGTCAAGCTATTCCTACCCAAGACCTCCAAGACCTACATGGGTCGACCATGGGAAATGCGCCTCCATGAACTGGTCTACCTTGAGGAGGCCGCCGTTTTGGGCTCTCCATGTCGACCTCCTCTGAAAAATCATCACAATTTGATGTAATGTTTCTTCCAAGTGCCGCTGACTGTATATCCTACATACTCGTCTGACGCCTTGGACCTGGGCCCTTCACCATGCTCAGAGACCAGTTCATTCTCGTTCCCTGGTAGTCCTACCCGGTCCTACGGCATCGCCGGCCCTTCCGATCCCGACGTCGGCCTCCGGGTGCCGGCATCGCCGGCCTCGCCGCCGGCAGCGGGTGCAGGAAGGTGATCTTCCAGCCCGTGATCTATCCATCCCACAAGTTCTCCAGTAGCATTGTAGAGCCCTACAACTGTGCCCCTTGGACCGAACCTGAATGCGCCGTGCGTTGATGCACATGGTGAAGGATCCAGTGGACCGTCGCGTACCATATGGGGCCCTTCTGCACGCGTGGCGCACGCGTGGCGCACGCGTGGCGTACGCGTGGCGCACGCATGGTCGACTGCTAAATCACCAGGTCGTCATTTCAGAAGTGGAACCGGCCTTACATTCGGTGAAGATGAATGTGATGATCTAGACTGACTTTTTACCGGAAGCCATGCACAGAGCACCACATATTCCACCTCTTACATCCAAGTCATCCCAGAGGTTTGTTCTTGGACTCACCCACCAGCTGTGCACCAACCGTCACAACCAAGATCTTCTCCACGCACTACATGCGAGATGTGGCACCTCGTCATCCAATATGCGACGCCTCAACCAGCCGGGGCTTTACAGCGCTTTGCGGAATGGGCACAAGTTGACTGACTTGATTGTTACAGGGAAGTGTTTTTTGTTTTTCTTTTTGTAAAGCATATCTAATGATGTCGCTTGATCTAGAACTAGAGAGGGCAGAGATCTGCGAGCTTTTGCTGATGGACCAGTGGCACAGAAACTCCTGGGTGTATGTCTGTATGACACAGTTGATGTTGGAAGTAGGATCTTCCATGTGTCTCACTACTCAGATCTTGGGCGGTTCTTCAGATCTTGGGCGATTGGTAGGCAGAGCTGAAGGTGTAGTCGACTCTGGGCTGGTAATCACTGGAGGTAAACACCCTCCCCCTCCAACGTCCTCATGGAAGTGGACGTCCTGGCCTCCTGGAATACGATGTTCCATGATTTTCCGCTAGAGAAGCAGCAGGAGATGTGTTTTTCCACTTCCATGTTTGTGGGGGGTAGGATCCGGTACCCCATCTCCTGCATTTCACCCCTCGTGTCCGGACCACCAAACTGGCAGGACGGCTCTAACCCCCAGACTCGTCGGGCTTCAGTCGATCCGGGTCGTAAGGATCGGAGGATCCGGTGTCGTCGTGTGGGTCGAAGCGGATGAGGTCGACGTATCACTGATGCTGGACAACGAAGCGGCCTATCGTGTGTGCGAGAACAAGCTGCGCCTGTGATGGCGGTTGAAGGGCCGACGTTGGGTTGGGGGGAAAGGTGATGACGGTTGGTGGTGAAGCATTGAATTATTGAATCATCCTGACATAGAATGAAATAGATGGGCCATTCTAAGAGATGCATAGGTTGAGATTGGTCGAAACTGATCATTCATCATGGCTTCAATGGCTGGGAAGATCAAGTCCCACCACCACCTCTGGCTCCGCAGCATTTCAACGTGCTTTGGGGAGTACTTCCCATGTGGTTCATTTCGGCTGCAAACCCGACGCTCCTCTAGCATCGGCCACTCCACCAGCTTCCTGTGAGGCTGAAGAGGCCCATGCACACCGTGGGACTCGGCTCGGCCCGAGGAACATCCAGCAACCCGACTTCGACAACGTGAACCGTTTGATCGCACAGTGCATCTCCGCTTGCACCACCTCCTTGCGCTTCGAGACGCAGTTGCTTGCCAACGTGCCAAGCAAGGCGGTGTTTTTGGAGGGGCCATGGATCGGGGCTCCAAGTGTATGTCTACGATATATAGTCGTTGCCATATATGTAGAATAGGTAGAGGAACTGACCCTTCAAGCCCAACTGAACCTTCAAACCCAACCCCCCAACCCCTCAGCCATCCATACAGAAAAAACGAAAGATGCTGGAACCCTCCCAAAAGGCGCTCTCCCGCTGGAATGCGACGCGGCCCACTTGGAACCCTCAGCTGCAGCTGCAGCCTAAGTAAGGCTCCATGCGACGCTCATTGAGATCGTGACGAACATCGTCCCCACGCAGTACTACCGCTATCCCATCGTTTCCTTGGCGCCGGTCCGCGCCAGTGGCTTGGAGTTGAGGGTTGGAGTTGCGGACGGAGTGCAACGGGACAATTCAACGATGACAGCGACGTACGTAATGGAAACGTTGCCAAATATGATAATGTTAATGTGTTGCTGTTTCTGTTCAGAACTTTTTGAAGATATTCTGAAAATAGGTGGGATGTAGTATATCTGTGAATATATTGAATATGGTCTAAAGACTCAGTAACACCTGGTCCTTTACCTCATTGAGTACCGTAGCTGCTTAATCTTCAACTCCAGTAAAATGAGGTTCAACATGGTGCAACTAACCTGTGGTAGGGCCGAAGAACAGCATTTCATGCGCTAAAAGGACTGGTCTCGTCCTGGTGCCGAGTGGGCCCTGAAACAAAGGTTCGAGTCCGTAAGCAGCAAGAGAGATTGATGTGGGAATGCGGAGCGAACCTTCGGATGAGTGGATGAAGTTTATCTACTATCCCTTATCTCATCCGGTGCTTGAGAAAGCGGATGTTTTTGGTGCGCAAGCAAGGCACAGATCTAATCATGCCTTCCACAGATCTAGTTCCCCTCAGAACTCTCAATTCTCCTTGCCATCGATTCAGTCACCCGTGTAGACCATGAGGAGACAAGGAGGCGCATGAGACCTTCGTAGAGGAGGAGATTGTCACAGAGCTCTTCGAATCGAAGAATGCCGCTTCGACATGGTTCCGACGAATGTCGAGGGGGTCACGGGACGGTCGAAGAGACTCGCTCCGGAGAGTCCTGGGACGTGAGACGTCACTGCAACCGGAAATGGAATGGATGGATATGGTGCATGGAGATTCGAAGCTGTTTTAGCATTCTTCAGTATTCTGTTGAGGTTCTTCAAACCCAATTCAACTGATGTGTTAAGCGCAGTAAAAAGAACCACCACCGCCCCACCGCCAGCGCCGCGGAGGGCGGATGAAACCACGGCACCGCCACTCGGCGGGTCCGACACTCGGCACGCATCGGCGGGTCCGACAGCGACGCAGGTCCTGTGCGACGTGACGCATCTGCGGCAAAACCGCTATCTCTCGGCGGTGCCTCGGCCGGTGAACGGAACCCCGACCCGTGGTGAAAAGGAGGCGTGGCGTTCATTGTAAAACCCCGTTGGTCAGGTAAGAGGACTCATTGAAGTGCCAAAAATAGAATGACTTTGTATGAAATTGGGTGGATAGAGATTCAAGGTGGCCACACTACTTGTATTTAGCAGTTGTCAAGAAGAAACTTCAGAAGGCCTGATTCTTTTTGCTTTTTTGAAGAGGCATTTTGAGATGATGAACCAACAGTTTCATTGACAAATTGAGGTTCAAAAACACAAAATCATCAAACATTCAAATTATGAACACATCACAAAACGAGTTGTTTTTTCTTCATGTTCACCTTTGCTTTTGGATGCCATGTTTTTCTCATTTGGCTTCTTTGAATCAGGGCACACAGGGTTCGGCTCAATCACCTACTAAGTTCCAGGTTGGTTTGACTATATAGATCTCTGGAAAAGCATACTTTACTTTGAGAACCCCAACATGGTGTTTATACTCTGATGATAACCAACGGCTATATTTTGCTTCAACGTCACCAAGAAAGTGTTTGTTTTGCCTTTATGCAGGCATTTTTTCAGGCGATCTGTGTATATATACATATGTACATATTTAGGCCAGGCATTCTATGTGGTATATATTGTGGCATTCTATCTAATTAGCATATATATATATACATACATATTCGGGCATTCTATTTGGCCAATATGTTCCCAGTCTATCTGGCATATTTTCTGATTCTGACATTCTATCTTGGATATATTCTGGCAATCTATCTGGGACATATTCTTGCATTCTATTTGGCACTCTGTCTGACATACTTTCTTGCATATATTTTGGGCCGGAATGTCCCAGCCCACCCAGGTAATTACCAAAAAGGCGACATGAAACATGTCATTTGTTTCCTTTTGTTTCATCTTCTAGCACCACCCAGCTTGGTGGGGTTTTGTTGGGTGGTTTATGATGGATGGTAAACACATGGGATCCGGGGGCCATTCCACAAACCACTCCAAGTGGTTGGTGCTTGGTTTTTCCGCTTCTGTCAGTCTCACAAACCCTTGCAACTAGTTTTTATTCCAGTTGGTTTGTGATTTCTTGTTTCGTTCTTGAGGCCTTCTTCGCTTGTCAAAAGGGTGCTTCGGTACCAGGTGGTGCTCCTGCGCGGCATCGGCAGCCCGCAGAAGGAGAAGTCACGGGACGGCAGCAAGGACGAGCTCAAGGAACGCCCTGTTGAGGCACGCCAAGAGAGAAATGTCAGGATTTGACACCATTCTATGTGGGGAGTGAAGTCCGGTAGGCAGGTCCTTTGATCCAGTAAAGGCAGGACATCAGGGACTCTCCCCACAAGAAAAGCCACCACCATACGATTGTGTTTATTTATATTTGGTTCTTACATGTTCTGTGAAAGACCAGTGATCTCCATCTGAAGTTCTCGGATGTTTGGTCGTTTGAGTCGGGGGACTGGCGTGGGTGAGGCCTTGCGGGTATGTTCGGTCGGGCTTCGGCTTTGGGCGCTGCAAATAGGAAGATCTGAGAAGAAGATGGAAGAAGTTTGCGCAAGCTTGCTGGATTGATGTGGATTGGTGAAGGTTGGTGAAGGTGCCATCCAGAGTGGGATCAATAGACAGACTTCCTTCCACTAGACTAAGGCAAGGAGAGCAACTTCTCTTGCTGGGTTTGTTTGTTTTTCTTGTTGCTGGGAGATACCGTGATAGACCTCAGGGTGGTTTCGATATGCTTCGGTCTCATACCCTATACCCATGAAGGTCAACGGTGTTTGCAGAGACCATCAGCAGGTTGCCGCAAGGAAACAGGAGAAAAAGTAACAAAGAAAAGGTCCAAGAGACCTTTTGGTGAGCATCCTACAACTTAACATGAGAACTCGTGCTGCTGAAACTCCTCCTTCCATGGCTAATTAGCTCATTCTCCTCAATATCCGGGAATGACGGACAGGACTCATTCTGCTCCCTGAGATTCTTGTTCGCTCCGGGGCTATGCTCAAGCTCCGACCTCGATGCCTTCACAACGTCGTCGTACATAACTGGTGCTCGCTCCGCGCGGTGTTTTTGCAGGCGAACCATGTGATCACGGCGCTGCACTCGCTGAAGGACCAAGAAGGGGAGATTTCGAAGAGGGTGTTTCTGTTGGAGGGTTTCCATGAAAGACTGGCCAGTGGTGGTTCGAGGGGTTGGGGTCCAAGTTGCTGATTTGACTGACTTGCTAGTGATTTGCTGGTGGCTGGCGCTAGCAGGTGATGTAATGATAGAATGAGGCTTGGGGTGACCAAGCGAACAGCAAAGGAGAAAGAAGCAGGGATGTCCAAGATAGAAGCAAGGGGCCCAAACCGAATCCAGTTTTCAATAAAAGGGGATTTTGATCCAAGTTTCACTGATATCCCATCCACTAAGAAGATGTTCATCCTTTACACTCCTGAAAACTAACTATGGACCCTGTGGTTTTGACACCCGGGTCGTCCGACAGTGTCCTCCGCAGTCGCCCTGACTCCCCGTCGGTCTCGGTCTCAGGATGGCACGCACCGTTCGCCTCTGAAGTTTGCTCCCTGGATCCAGTCCGGCTTCAAGGCCCGGGCGATCGGAGCGAGAGCCAGGTCCGGAAGAGCATCGAAGGTCGACTGCAGACTGCAGGGCGCTGGGGAAGGGGAGGACTCCAAGCTGGTTGGAAGAACCTCCAAAATGGAGGTTCAATCAGCTTTGAATGGTTTTTCATTCTTAAGGTGAGCACCGCAAGAAACCTCCCAAGATGAACTAATTAAAAGCCTTGAACTTGTCATATGGAACTTGGGCGTAAGCAATAACCTGAAAAGCGTAAGGTTGTGTAAGGGAGTTGTGAGACATGCATGTTGCGTAAGCTTGCCATATGGTTGTATTTTCACCTGCAAAAGGAGCCTTCACGTAAGCATTTGCCTTGGGAGTATGGTTCTCATGTGTGAAAATACAGATGCTTAAGATCTGAGTAATGTCTTCTCCAACATCCGTGGAGCGTAAGCTCACATTGTGGTCGCGTAAGAAAAGCGTAAGCAGGAGCGCAAGAAAGTTATATACGACATAGGGGTTTAATCATACGTATTTTGCACAGCTCAGGTGATTCCAACGGTAGGAGAAGTCTTCAAACATGGTGCCCCGTGGAGAAACCCCAGTTCGTTCCACAAATCTGGGTCATTTGATCCCCTGTTCTGTGGTTCTGATAGCTTGATGTCTGGACCTTGACAGTATACCCGTATTCGGCACCTGGCCCTAACCAATTCGATCGTAGATACTGCCCGGCTCAGCGCACTGTGCCTCACTCCTGAATGGACGCTCCTCGACCGCTTGACCCCTTGAAGCCGCGACAGAAAAAAGAGAAAGGGAGATATTGCATGGTGAATGTCCACATTGCCTCGACTTTGAAAGGAACTTCAACCTCGGAACCTCTTGCAGCCCCCTGAACTCTGGAACATGAACCCTAAGAAACAATTCTATGTTGCCTTTTGAAGAAATCCCAACTTTTGCGCACCTGAAACCCCATCCAAAACCTCCAACCCCCCCCACAGTCCTGAAAGTTCGGTGTTTCCACCAGCTCTCAGCAGCTGTCAGCAGCTCACCAGGTGGGCCTCGTGGGCGTGCCGCCCTCCACCGTGCCGGGCGACAAAGTCATGGCCCAGACCAAGCGCCAGGGGGCGATGCTGGGCCCCTCGGAACGCGGACAGCGTGGCCGAAGACTCGGCTCGGCCCGGCGCGATACCGATCGGGCGGAAGAGGTGGCCACGGACTTCCCCGCGGAAGTTTTTGGAAGCAAAAAGCCGTGGCCGTGGGTGGTGCAGCTCCTGAAGTGAAGATGGAGCAAAGCAGGAGTTCAAAGAATCGTATGGCACTGAACTCATTGGAAGATCTTCTTGGCGCCCAGATCGGTCGGTCATCAATCAGGACGTCGTTCACAGGTCGACCTCGTGATCCACACACGTTCGGACGGTGTGTTTCGCTGATCCTGTACGACCAGGGGAGGTCTCAACAGTTCAAAGTTTGTGAAGTACTTATTTACCCATACACTCCATGGGACTGGCATATTTTCCGATCAATTGGGGTGTTGGAAAAGGGGTCGTATGTAAATACGCCAGTCCCATTAGTCGTGTTTGGGTTATATATAGTTTGTGTTATAGGGAAAATGCTTGTGATGTATCTTGCAGAACAGTTATATGCTGGAACCTGCTGGACCTGCCACTCCCTCCGTCTAAGAGAGCCTGTCCATCTCTCACCGCCAAACCCAAACCCATGCCAGGACGCAAGTACATAGACCTCCACTGTTTGTCCCGGAGATCCCCCGCGCTTGCTCGTTCAATTGGGGACCTCCCTCCTCATCGCTCGCAGCGATGGATCCACTGGAGAAATGAAGGTCGACCCCCCCAGCAGCCGGGTAACACTCCCATGACCGATGGGGACTGGATCCAATGTGCCTATAGCGATCGTTGCATTGAATTGCTATAGCTCAATCGGATCGTGGGAAACCATGTGGCTCTTCTTGAAATGTGGTGCTGAAGAGGTGTGCAACTCCCACTGAAGTTGAGGAATGAGAAAGAACCGTGTGTCACACATGTTCCATGGAATGGTATGTCGCACATGTTCGGAGGACGTCTCAATGTTGCTTGCTGCTCCCAAAACCGACATGTCCTTCACAGCGAAGCCCCTTTCGATTCTCTTTGTTCCAACCAGAAAACTCTATAGAGTCACACACACAAAAATAATACGCCGCATGGCAGTAGTTCCATGCCGAAGGAATGGATCTTGGCTCAGCCTGAGGAAATAGCACGGCGGTGCGGCAACTCTTTGTCCGGCAGTATACCAAGCAGCTTGGGCGATCTTGATCTGAGGGAAACACCCTTTCGCTGTGAGTCGTGGCACCAGGATACTGACTATGTACACCCGCTCCGAGTTTTTGGGACGAGACCTGCACTTTAATGGTTGATTCTCGTTTGCGAAGAGTTTGTGAGGCTTTCGTAGTGCTAAATACAGCTTGCCAGGACCTTCTCAGTGACCTATTTGGAGTCCCATCCCACCTTTTACACGCCTGTTTGTGACCGTTCGGTCACCAGGGGATCAAGTTCGGTCACTGGGAAACTTCCAGCTTGGAGGTCTTTTCGAACCCCAAACTCTCCGGATCGGGGCGTCCCCACCGTCCGGTGCGACCGACCTGCGACGGTTGTGGAATCCCACCCAGCAACGGTGCAAGTGTCCTTCATTGGTTCACTTGTCACCCTTCAGGTTTAACCTCGCGTTGGATCGACCTTGGCGTATCCAAGAAATGACGCAGTCAGCCCGCCATGTCAGATCACACTAGTTCAGGCGAAAGCTTATCCAGCTCGCAGGGCAAAGCACGTAATTACAGAACACAGGGCCTGCTGGGGAGCGGGAGGATGCTGGACTGCACTCTCTCAACCGCCGACAGTTGCAACAATTAAGGCAGCAACAAGGCAGCAAAAACACGCCTTAAGCCACTTATGATTGTCAGGAGCTATATGTATAAATAACAAAGTAGTCAGCAATTGGAGGGATTTGCCCACTTCAGGCAAGGAACCCCAAAGAAGCCCTTATGATTCATGATTGTCAACTCGCTTGCTCCAGTGTTGCGTTGTACAACCCAGCCACACTTGGTGACCGGAACCTTCAGGTTCTTGAAGCTCTTTTACCGTCGGGCCTACGTCTGGCAGTTTCTCGAGGCCAACGGGGAGATTGACTCCTTCTATGTCCCTTGAACCTCACCGCGTCCGCGTGTATCCGCGTGTGAAAACATCGCGTGTTCATGCGTGTTCTTATTTATCTATTTGTTCGGAGCATATTTGAAGCACCCCAAGGTTGTTGCAAAACATGTGGAAGCACAAGTGTTGTGATCGCAAAAGTACTCAACAACACCTGGAATGTTAGGGTGAGTGGAAAGTCTGGCAAGGTGGCAAGCATTAACTTGCTGGCAACTATAGCATACTAAAGCGCTTGTTTTGAAATCACTGGGACGAGTGAGCAACTCAAACTGGCAGTTGATACGTGGATCTCCCTCGTTTTATGTTTTTCAAGCATGAGGCAGATGACAGACAAATATATCACAAATATATCATTAATATATCAGCAAGATTAATTCGTAGAACCATAGCCTCCACAGATCTAAAATCGGACGCCGCAGACCGGCTGCATTGTACTAGACATGTGTGAAGATCGTTGAATCAGTGGGATGAAAAAAACCTGAAAAAAGAACCTTCTGACGGAAAGAAGACCATCCCGAACGTTCTGAATCCTGAAGATGTCCAAACCATGGTGTTTTTGGTCCGTGGCTTTGCAAAATCCATCGCTTTTTCGAAACAAAAACGACCCTCGACCCGACCACGTTCGACCGACCGAGGACGCCCGCGACGGCGTGCGTGACATCATCGGCCACTACGAGGAGCTGCTGCAGGAGTGCGTGCGTGTGGAGAACGAGAAGTACGACGCTCGACTCGCCGAGGGTGAACGGTTGGCTGTTTTTTGGGTTTCTTTCGGCCTTTGGTTCGGATGAGGGTTCAGGAGGTTGGAGCGCTTTTGAATGCTTTTGGAGGCTTTTCGGAGTGAGAAAAAGCGCACCCAACGAGAACGTTGTTGCTAGGCCAAGAACGTCGGACGTCGTGTTCGCCGAAAAAGCGACTGGTCGCAGGAGACTGGCTTGACAGGATGACCCAACAGAGAATTGGGGGTAGGTGAGTGAGAAGAGGCTGAACATGTAGCAGGAGACTCCAACATATGTATGTGATGTGACATGGAGTGCACTTCAAGAAAAATGGACCATACGTATCATAGGCTTGTAGACTTGTAGAAGACAACACGCCACTTCATGACTTGTTGATGTTGGGAATACAGATTGGAAGCCTGGGAACGATGGTGGAAACATGTGGAAACTCTTTGGCCGGCTCCCCATAACTTGAAGGTCTGGGAACCCGAAGCGGAGCCCGGGAACTTGAGTCCAGGTGTTCAAGCATGCGCAACAGGGTCTGTCTCTGAAGCCTGTCGCTAAGGATGGCAATACCGTTGTGAAGCTCCAGGGTGCCACGCGCCGAGGTTCAACAGAAGAGGTTCAGCTTGGGAGAGGGATGACCCTCCACTGGCTTGTTGGTTTCCTTACCTGCTTGTGGCCCTTGTGGCTTGAGAAAAGTCTAGTATTCGTGTACTAAACGCCAAGTCGATACCAAATAGGCATGTGTTTTCTTGCTTTTGGATTCCTTTGCAGCCAGGCCAAATGGTGAAAAACGGCTCAATCGCCGTGTCCAGTCCTGGAAACACTGCTACTGCTCGATGTCTTCAAGGGATAGACGATTTTTCTTACATCACCTGCCAGAAACAACCCCTTTTCGCGCTCGTTTCTGTAGGCTGAATCGGTTTCTGAAAAAATGCATCTCGCTGGGTCGGTTCGTTTTCGCGTTGATGCACGGATCACTTGAAGAAGACCCGGTCCTTAGCAGCTGAATCGCTTGAAGATGAATCCCAAACATGACCGATGGCGGGACTGGAATATATGCCGCCCCATGTATTGACCCCTTTTCATTTCTAAGACCCAGTCCCATGGAGTGGGGAAATAGACTCCAAATGACTTGAAGCTGGGGATGGATGGGATGGGTCGTGACCCACCTGTAGCGAGCGAGTTCGACCGACACCAGGTAGGGCGTGCCCGGAGGGACTGACGGTATCCTGAAGTCCCTACCAAAAGGGAGCCGTTCGGAGCGGCACAGCAAGTTCCCAAACCACTTGCATGGTAGGAATAGACAAGTAACATGGAGTTTATTTAAGCCATTAAATTATCTTTGCACTATAGATTCCATGAATCCCAAGTCATTTGTCTCCACACACTTTTCAGTGGCAGTTTTTGGGAATGACGGCCGCCAGCAGCCCCTTCGATAGAACACCGCGCAAGCGCGCGGCCATTTCCGGTACGGGCTGAGCCTGCACTAAGGATGCCCAATGATCAGCCACCGCGGGGTAGCTGACAGGGTCTCTCTGCATGTTGAGTGCATTGCTGCTCTGAGGGAAGGGGGGCGTGGTTGACGTGCATCAATAGCAAATACTCTTGCAAACTCTTGCAGATGGAGTAGTTTTGAAGAGGAACAAATAAGTCACTTCTGCCAAGTCACCAAAGGGAGATAGGGGGAGATAGAGGGGAGGTGTAACAACCTCAGAGACTTGGATCTTCCCAGTGACCCTTCTCTTTCGATCCCCTGGTTCTTTTGGGCCGATCACATGTACGACTCCAAAAGGCTGTCCCGGTCGGGATGACTGACGGACCTGGGGATGTGAGTGACATGGTCTCTGGTGAACGTGGAGCTGATCGAATAGATGACCGAAAAGATGACCCGTTTCTCATTAGCTTTGGGATTTTTCCGCTATTTACTCCAGGATGACTCTATTTAGAGTTCTGAACCGATATTATTGCACACATATTATGTTATATCCGGAACACATCTGGCACTTGGCTTGGTACAAATTATGGTTCTTTGGCAAACCTTGCTTTGAACCTCAGCCAAGTGGAGCACTGTCACTCGCAAAGGATCGAAGCACTGTCACTCGCCGCGGGGCACCGTACGGTTAGGAGCCGGGCGCGGATGGGAGCACCGTACCGTCATGCGTGGTGTTAGACGTGCAGTGCAAGGAACACTGCTGCGTTTTGTACAATAAGTTGGATCCCGATCCAAGCCAAGTGCTGATATCTTGTGTTCACCTAGGACTCCTAGGCTACTAGGACATCCTACAACCTAGATTCACGGTATTTCACCCTTTAGGATCCTTTAGGCAAGAAATTGGAACTGCGATAGCTTTGCAGGAATGTGTCAATCATGTGATTCCTTGGCTGTATGTACTGTATGTATGTCCATCAATTGGTCGTTCTCAGGTACCACGGAACGAGGACAGAGAATGACAGGGAGTAAGCGACAGGGAATAGGGAGAACTTCTCGTTTTCGGATTCAGGTCAACCACAGTGGTAACGGAGCATCGTTTTCCAGCTAAAAAATGATCGATGAAGAGACGTGATCGATGTACAAAGCATGCCATTCGATCGGAGCAGAAGGTGGGGGAAGAACAAAGAAAAACAGGTGCCATAGAAGTTCCTGATGTTGAAGCCAACTCCCTCATCTCCTCATTCTCAGTGCCATTGTCATATTCCAGGATCAACAAAAAACACAGTCTTAACAGGGAAGGCCAAGCGAGTCCGCTTGTTTTTGCACGGTAATCTCCGCGGTCAGTTTCTAAGGCGATGATTGGCTTGTAGTTTTGTCACTCGACGGCGTTGGGTCCAGGATCTGCAGTCGGTTTGAACTCGCTGATGAAGTGGCTCAGTGGGAATCACAGGTGTTTGTCATCCCGTGACTCTCACATCCGCAAAACGAACAGACATTGATTTGTTTGTTATCTAAATGGAATTCATGATTGGTGATTCTCAGTGTATCAGTGTATCCCAGTTTCTTCAGAATAAGTGAAGTCACGGATGCAGGTTCGAGCTCCATGAGAACTGCATGAAGTAAGCAGAACATCACAGCTCCATGAGAACTCGATTCTCCTTTGTCGCTTCGTCACGTGGCGACTTCGCCCGTTTCACGACCGGAGCACCGGAGCGCAGAAGCCGTTTCTCACCGGAGCACGGTGGAGCCGTGAAGCGCCACAGAGCGACCTGCTGGCGGTTTTCGGACCGGTCTCGGTGTGCCTGGTGCGCCTCCACGGGGTGCGCGGTTAAGGCTTGTAAGGCTCGGAACGCGAGTTAGGTGGTGGTGTGTGTTTCTCCGAACGTTCGGACCGCGACTGGTTGACCGATCGACCTGTGCTCGTTGGGGTTCGACCGTTCCACAGCGGCATCGAGCATCATCGAGCGGTGCAAAAAAAACCAGGACGACAGGGTCTCGCCAAAAGGTTTCAGTTTCTTCAAACTTGGAGAGGTTTCAAGCCACAGAGGGATGTTATGAGATGTTTGGTTTCCATGAGTTTTCCGGTTTCCGAAAGCCTAGGCCTCAGTTTCTTTAGAGGGCTGGACCAAGAAGAGTAAAGCAGAAGTCGAGCATGAGGGAGACGGGAGCATGCAGATTCACGTTATCTTACCAGAACCGAAAGCTGGTAGTCAAGAAGTAGAAGCAGGTGCCAAGTTTCGGACTTGCAGGAGGAGTTGATTTGCTTTGACCGAAAGCTGGTGCTTGGTCAATTCCCTTGGTCATCTCCTGGAGCAACTTTTTTGAAAGTGTCTTTGCCTGCGCGCTCCTCTTTGTGCAGAGTCTCTTCACTCTCATTGCTTCTCCAGAGTTCCTTGGCACAGACTTCTCCAATCAGACCGCACCTGTGTGGCGCAGTGCTGCGCATGATGTCCGAAGTCGACCTTTCAAGAGCTTGGCGACCAGGATGGATCTTTGATCTACTCCACTGCACAAGCCACATTGCTCAGCAGCATCAACAGCTATCTTGGTCTTGGAAGACTTGGGCCAGAGGCATGTTCTGTGACATCCTTCCAACCAGGTGTGCTGCTGGCAGTGCTTTGCGTTCTCCTTGGATCATTTGCATCGTCAGTTGCGGAGTGTGTGGTATGTCTTACAAGCTGTCTTGTTTGGCCACATGGGGACGAGTGGCGCAGCCCAAGTCCGTGAGGGCGGTTGAAGCATGCTGACACGGATGGCGGTATGCTCAGCCTGCTATGACCTTGGTATGCCTTGGCGGCGGAGCAACGGTGGCGTCCGTGCACTCTTGGTGTCAGGAACCTTCTGGCTATCACGCACCGCCTCCAGCTTATGCTCAACTGTGTAGCGCGCCTTTGGCAGTGGTGCACGTGGATGAGTTTATCTTCTCTGCCTTCGTGCCCACACAGCTTCAGCAGCAAATCCAAAGGTTGCCTCTGCAGTCATGATGAAGAAAAGCAGTCTATGGACTCGGGTGGAGAACCTTGTTCTTGCTTGTTGCTGCATGCCTTCTGATGTTAAAGCATCAATAATATTTCCATCGCGAACATCAACAGGTCGAGGCTCGATGCTTGCAAAAGAAGCAGTCATCTGGTGAAACCACCTGGGACCGGCGGTATGAGGTGGACCGGACAAATCTGGGACCGGCTTCACGGGGTCTCTGAACTGGATTTCAGGCTTATGAATACGCCGGCATCTGTCCGCTAGTGGGCACAATCACCTCAGAGTATTGAATACTATATAATACAATGCTATTCTGGTCACCATGATAACATATATTATGATAACCACGAGCACACAGTACGACATGTCCCATGTTTACACTTGTTCGCAGCAAGCACTGAAGCACCGTCTCCACTTTGCAGATGTTGGGGGTTGGTTTACTATTCTTTAGAGGTTTGGCTGAATTTTTATTGTCAAGACTTCTTTGGGGCTGCCTAATTTTTGCAGGGAAGTAGAGATGAAGGCTGGATGCCTCCCAAATTGCGCTGTTCCGAAGGCATCACCCGCTGACACTGACCTTTTATATGTTTTTCATCATGTTTTTCACAGGTGGAATCCACTTCTTGAAGTGGTGGGGGAGGTCCCTCTCCCAAGCAACGACCTAAAGACCCAGGGTTGAACGACGGCTGTCACCGCAGCAGTTCATGATCGCATTGCTGGTGGACACCGAATTTGAAAAATGATTTATTTGCAGAAATGGCCGCGGACAGAGTTCTTGGCAAGCGCGAAAAAAACAGATTGCTGGGGGATGATTTTTGACTTCAACCAGCATCGCCTGACGTGCAAAAAGACGTGCATGGTTTGTTGCCGCAACCGCGCGCATCGCCATGGATGAGAGTGAAGAACGCCGAGAGGCGCGACACATCGCAGCGCTGCGCTGCGCCCGCGCAGGGTACGGGTGGGCGAAAAAGGCTTTGGGCGAGGGATTGGACGGTTGAAAACAGAGCAAAGGTCTTCTCTAAATCAATTACTAAGATGTCTGAGTAAGGCCCTGGGCAAGGGATCAAGCTGGCACATGCGACGTTGAACTTGACACATTTTTGTTCCAACTCCGGGGGATGGCGCCAGCAGGAACCTTTTTGTGGTGACACTAACTAAAACTAAACAGCAGGCAGTTGACACCAATTTTCACCTGATATGTGATGTTTTGCTCAGTGTCATGATTCATCAGCTGTTTCTTGGGAGTTTGTTGGCTTAGGGGAGAACCCCGCGGCCTGCAGCGCCTCCAGTCCACAAACAGGAAAACCAGGTCATTCAAGGTAGCCATGAAGGCCAGCAATCGTGTTGAGTGCTTGTAGGTCGCTTGAAGGTCCAAATATTGAGAAGCATGATTTGCATATCACCCATCATATTCCCAGTATGTGAGTTTTTCCCTTCTAGCCCATCTTGCATTGGGTATCCAAGCGGGGTGCACATCCAGCTTTGCACGATTCTATTCACCTACTTGGACCCCCACAGCTGGTCCAAAACCACAATTGGTCATTTGTCAGAAGAACTCTGGATCTCTGCGAAGTCCATCGACTGATCTGTCTTGTTTCCGATTGCGCACGAAGAATGCTGGCAGGACCCCCGACGGATTAGTCGAAAAGAGATGGAACCCGACCAAAACCGGTACGGAAGCTGCCGCTGAGATCGTAGGCTGCCGCACCGGACCGCGGAGCGTCGTTCGCGGCAGTCGGAGGCGATGGAGATTTTCTCGGAGATCTCAGGGTTGTTGAACACCGGCCTCAAGCAGGAAGCGAGATGACGCGAGCCGCTAGGCGTCATGATACGGTCTGGCTTTTTGAGATGACAATAATAAGACTCCCAAGCTCGATTCGGGACTTGAGATGACGATGAGGAGGAGGATGAGGATGAGGATCAGGATGAGGAGGATGATGATGATGATGCAAAACTTCGATATTGTTTGACTCAAGTTTTGGTTCTACTCCTCCCAAGAGGAGATCAAAGGATCCAACAGTCCTAGTGAGGATCCCAACTGTCCTGGAAACCTGTTTGAGGCAGTCAGGGAGTCCAATGGAGATTGGGGCACTTCCCAGAGATGACCCCTGTTTTGCATAGGAAGTTTGACCATATACTTTTGGTGTTGTTGGTGATGCAATAGTTTGAGGTCTAGGTAGACATATCGACCCAATATCGATGTTGATCCCGGCTGCGTCGCATCCGCGACCAGGAGTCCCTGGCTGCGCTCGTCGGGCTTTGTGAGCTGGGCGTGAACCCCGAGGCCGGGTTGCGCAACCCGGAGGCCCAGCGTTGCAGGACCATCCATGAGACCGGAAGAAGTTTTATGATGCTTGATGTGTTCATTTGTTGATTCAATGAGGTTTGACAATCGAAATGAGGGACAATGGGAGGGATTTATTCATCCGCAGTTGTACCCCATGATTTCATGACCCATCCATGGGAACGCAGCTCGTCCGGTCCCATGTATGGTCTGGGACTGTGTGATCTCCACACCCCGAAAAACCGCGGGCAGTTCGCGCTTCGCGCCGGCGGCCACCGCGGGAGGCTTTAGCCCAGGTAGTGAAGGACCTTCGGGCGGAGAAGAAGCAGATGAGCGAGGTCGGGCGGATGGTGCGTGTGAGATCATGCGACTGTGAATTGGTTTCAGGTCCAAAGAGAAGTGGAAGATCTGACAGACTCAGGGGATACCAAAGCTCATGGTGAAGCAGCTAACCAGCTAAGTTGAAATGATTTAATTTTGGAACATCACATCATGTTTTGCACCAGCTAACCAACTTGTGCACGTCTTGGATGTGATGAATTACGTCCCTCTACAATCGTCTTTTCGGACTTTTCGGGACCGAAGAGCGGCATCATGGCATCCTTCGCCCCCAGAAGTCTTGTTGAGTACATGTTGGTTCATATGGTTCATAGGGGTGTAGACATTCCCAGACCATTCATGGAACTGGAAGATTTTACGCAACCATGGGAGGTTCACCCCATGAATGTAGCTATTCCAGACGGAAATGGTAGGTGAAGCCCATGGCTTCTACGGTCGATCCGGTCGATCCGGTCGATCCAGTGAGCTGTCGATCCAACAAGTTGGAGGCTCCCCCGGCTCCTGAGTTCCTTGCGATTACGGTCTTGCGGTCTGAACCGATTGATTCTACCAGTGAAGTGCTACAAGGTGCATTGAACCTGAGATCTCGGCGTCAAACCTACATGGAGAAGAAAGGACGTAAAAGGTGTCTCAGATCACTTTGGGTTTGTTTCAGCAGCAGGCCCTCCGAGACTTCCGGAGTTCTTTGTTGATGGAATTAACAACAAAACAAAAAGAACTCCTGAAGTCTTCAGAGTTCATCAACAAAGAACTCCTGAAACGGCCCACGAAAAGTTCCAGAATTATGCAACAGTCAAGTCACATGGAGGCCATGAAATGAGTGATAGTCTTCTTTATATTATATATACAGAAGGTCCTGGCTTCCTGGCCGCTATATGACTATATTTAAGACCCGCTTAAGGAGTATGACATGCGGTGAAGTTCACCTGGAGATGTGAACACCACTAAGTCAAGCATGCCAGGAGTCACAAAGGGGTGGTGTTTAGTCCCCAAGTGAGTGGATGTGACAAGGGCACCCCGACTTCCTCCATGGATAGCACCCCGTCTTGTGACTGCTGGTGTGTTGATTTTACATTTCTTTGACACAAAAAACATACATGTAAAACAAGACCCAGTCTTGGTCCAATGGACATGTTTCTGCTCGTGTCTCAGACCACCCCAGGCCACAGACACACCAGGCCAGCCGCGCTCAGACCTTCTCCGCTCTCGCAGGCGGACGTCCACGTTCCGGACGTTCCGGGACCGGCCTCCACGGGCGACCGGTCGCTTCAACCAGCTCCGCGGTCGAGCCGAAAGGCCTAGAGGGATCCGAGATCTTCTTGTGTGGGACGAGTCGATCACAGATGGGTCCCGGCCTTCCAGGCCAACCTAAAGATTTCATCCACCAGACCCAGGGATCCGAGACGAACATGGGTTTTGACGATGACCCAATGCTGACGATCCCCGGCAGAAAAACCATATATAGAGTGTATTTTCGGAACCAGGGTTTCGTTCGGTCTACCGTTTGAGTCTTTGGAAGCACTGGTGACCTACGAACTCATGGTTTGCCTGGATCCAGGGGGTTAGAGTGATTCGAGTATACAGTATTGATGACTCAATGGGCATGCAGCGATGGTGTATGTGGTTACAACGAGTTACCCAAAAATAGAACATTGCATGCTTGGAATGATACTCTTATACAGTTACATGCCAGATACATGTCCATTGGGGGGCCGTCCGGATCAGTTGGGACGCTTGAAGGGTCGGTGGCAGAGATTCCACGGAGCCTTTTGGGGCCAAAGGGTTTCTTTTGAGGCGCTTAAAGACTTGGACACAGACCGATTGCTGCAGAATAACATATAAGTCACGGAAAGGACAGATGTGTGAAATTGTGTGAAAATGGTTTCATCTGAGAATTTCAAGTTGCTTCATGTCGACGAGGACTTTCGTCGATGATCGGACGTCTCCAGATGTTGAGGTGATGTTTGGTGTTGTGGCACCTCGTGGGGCACCGGCAACAATTCCATCGTCCACCATGTATAGACTCTTTTTCTTTCTGTTTCAAAGCATGCACTCATATAGCGGCACAGTCTCACCGTAGAAGAGGATTTACAATCTATGTCGGGGGGGGCTTATGAATCAAGAATCTACATTGCGTCCGTCCACGGCAGCGGTCGCTCGTTCGAGTTCGAGTTCAGCGTTCGCTCGTTCGAGCTGCAGTCGGATGGATCCAAGTGAGTGCAACGGTGCAACGGGGAGTGTCCGGCGAGATCCCGAAAAGAGGGGCAAAAAGGCATGAAAGGAGAGAAGTCGGAGGGATGAAAAAGAGAAGGTCCACAAAGACGAGGGTCTGGACAAGTTCGCAAAAAAGTGGAAATCGAAGCATTTCATGCTGGGATGAAGATTATTTGAGCTTATTAGCCGAGTGGACACTGCAACAACTGCTGCCTTCCCGGCATTCAAGTTTTTTGCGGTTAGCCATATTTTTCACGACTCTAATTAAGAATTAGAGCCCATTCTGAAAAGGCAGGAATTCGGTACAATAGTCAGTGTCCAACCACGATGGAGGCACCTTCAAAGTGCCCTTTCGGGGGTGTTTCCTGATCAAGACGATCGAGAGTCAACTTGGTATACATCCTTGCCTCGCTTTATGAAGTTCAATCCTGGAATGGATATCGATTTGCTGGGGTTTTGAGTTGAGGAGCATGCATGATGAGTATGAGTATGAGGTGGGGGGTCCATGTTTCTTGCAAAAGCAGCCTAGGGCATGTCGAAGCACATCCAGGGCCGAACAAGCCCTTGGAGTTCCAATGAGTTCCGGCCAAGTTCAATGAACAGGGTCTGACCGGCCATCATGTGAGCAGGGTCGACCGGCCGTGCGGGTTGATGAATTGATAGGGCTTCAACCAGATTTCTCAGAAGGTAAGTCTAACTATGTTGGACTCCCTAAACCTATCCCAACCACTCAGGGGAAATGCCCACTGGGGAATTTGAGATCCTTCAGAGAAGGCGCGACACAAGCCTCACACACTCATTCCGTTCCGCTGCGTAACTGGGGAAGTTTGGGTCGATGTGTTCTTCCCCGGTCACCGGTCGTGACTCGACGGTCCAAACCGAGTGACTCGACCGGAAGCTTCGTAGCTCGCCATTCCGCTGCACCGGACCTGTGGGGTTCCGAACTGAAGGAGGAAGGAGTGCCCCGTGATCCCTGTCACATTCAGTCACGAACGATAGGTTTTTTACACACCACCGAACTCCATGTGACTCGTGGATTTTCATGGATTTTCCAAGGGAGTGACTCGGAGTGACCCATCCGTGAACCCATCTTTTCCCTTTTAACCCATCCGTACGGTATGCGCGCGCGCGCGGTGTCGGCCACCCGTTTCTTCCCTTTCGGGTCCAAGCGGACACCGCCGGTCCACTTAGAGCGACGAGCGACGATTTGGCCTGGGTTGTAACATAATTATGTATAGAAGTGGAAATCCACCTGTTTGTAGAGGAATATGGTTGCATCACCCAGAGATCCTGGGGGTTGTTAGGAGCTTCGTCAACTTCAAACACATGGTCAAATGAAAGTCATGAAATACCCCCTAGCAGCAAAGCATTTCCGCAAATTGCACATGTACCGAGGGTTTCTCATGGTTTCCCTCCCTAGCCAAAACCAGTGAACATAATGAACAAAACTCAAACCGTTCTGCTTTCATCAAACCCTTCCGCCATGCGTGATGCTGCGCCCAAGAGTATTCCGGTCATGGCGCGTTTCTTCGTGCATTTGCCTCGTGGTCCTCAGCATCCTGGCAGCAACATGGCCTTGGCAGTTTCTGGTCTTTCAGATGTGGAAAACTGTTTGTGACAAGAACGCTACTAGTAACAAAAAGGGCATCGCTACTAGGAGCAAGGATGCTACTAGTAACTCCTGGCCTTACTACTATAGGAAGCTACTAGTGATCCCGAGGCTTAGAATCAGCTCTAGGCATCCACGATCCACCTCCCCTCTGAGTCAGAAGGTGATTGGACCCTTCAAGCCATAGGGCAGTATTGGCACAGCCCGATGAAGTGTGGCTACTGCTTTTGCAGTGGCTTGTTCGGAGCAGTTCGGATGGTTCAAAGGATAGTTGATGAACACCTTGATACTGAGTGGTTGACACATGTTAGGGTTTCCTCTCCCTGTTCACGGAAGGATTGTTGAGATTCTTTGTTCCCATTCCATCCCCATTCCCCACAAGCAGCCACTAGCACTGTGGGCGGATATGGTGAGTGAACGGAGTTAACATCAACGTATAAGCCACTCCATGTTAATCCCGAGGTCATTTTAGACAGTTTCTAAGATAATAAGGGCCGGAACATTTTTTTTTCACCAGCGATCCCCTTTTTCGGCTTTTTTGTTCGGGCTACCAAGTCCACAAAAGAACCTGAGGAGGGCTTCCACTCATGTGAAGAGTTTGAAGAATCAAGATCGAAAGCCCAGACTCCAGTTCCTCCAAAGGCATGGAAGTTGAACCGCATGGCTCATGCTCGACCTCATGTCATAGTGCATGTGATACACACCCGCTCTTTCAGGCGGCCTCGCGCTGAATTTCGTGAGAGATGCCCGTAGCCCCGGAGACCGCCGGAAGAAGAAGGGTCTCCAGTGTCTCACGTGTCTCGCGCCGCGAGAGTCCTCTCGCATGAGTCCTCCCGCTGTGTTCGACCGCGAAGAGACCCACACCTGAAGGCATTGGTACTGGAAGACGTTTGTTTCCTCGTCAAAGCCAGTGGTTTTCAGATTCCATATTGGTCTCTTCCAGGCAAGCTATATGTGTTTATGTAAGAGACCAATATAGAATCTGTAAGACACATAGCTATGTCTTGCTTGTAAGCTGTGTATGACATAGCAAGCTATGTGCTCTCAAAAGCCCTCTTCTCTTTCGCGGTGAGCCCTCGGACGACGGCGGATGAGGCCCCTGAGCAGGCGCGCGGCGCGCGGCGCTGGGGATGGTCGCGTCGAGTCTTGTGGCTTGCACCAGCGAAACGACAGAGGTTTATTCATTGAATTTTGAATGAGGTTTAACCACTTTTCAATGCAAAACCAACCAAACGAGCTCGAGGTTTAACCAATGGTTGCACCACACAGGTATCAATGAGAAACAGAGACCGCGACGAGAAGAACGGCAGCGGCAAACAGACTTGAAACCTCTGAGCTTGTTGTGTACCAAGACGATTGCTGAACAAGCGAGCATTTAGAACAATCAGCTGAAATGCAATCCTTGACCACATTTGCATAACTCAGACCTGGGCTGCTCAAACATCAATTATGTAAAAATTGCGAACGTTGCACTGACTAATACCCGTTGGATATTCTTGCCTGCAAAAGTTTAGGACCCGGATCTACCCGTTGAAGAAACACTCAAACTGAGACCATGGCCACTTGAACACGGTGTTGGAGGTGTTTGAATTCTTAAGAACCTCATGGTTTTGCTTGATTTTCAATATGAAACACATGGCCCGATTGATAGCTGCTGAGTCTGAACCAGTGATGCTTAGTAAGCAGCTAGTAGATGCTGGGCGTCCGACTTCTGAGCACACCAGTGGTTTTCAACCAAAACCGTCGCCTTTCTCAGTCTACACCAGGTACCAAGTGGCAAAGTACAGATCGGTCAAGTGATGACACACTTCGTCCACCTGAACGTCGAACTTCATTGCGTCGTCTTTCGCCGAAGGCTCGCCGCGCGGCTTGCCGCGGCCGCAGCGCCCGCCGCGCCGCGCCAGCAGACGTGAAGGCAGAGCGGTGCGGGAGGGTGCAGAGGGCGCGCTTGTGGGGAATTGCAGATCTGAAAGGTGAAAGATTTGGTTGCAGTTTATATATGGTTGAGCCTGTGGGATCAGTGGTCGATATATTAAACAAATTGACCCATTTTAACCCTGTGAATCTGGAAGGTGTATTTCATGTTTAGCTGCTGGAAAGCTCCTGGTAGATCGCTACGGTGATTTGAAGTTTCCAATTCCCAGGTTTTCCTGGTTGTTGTTTATAGGCTTATAGGGGCGATGTATGGGTTTTCCCTATGGGTGAATCCCCTGGCACGGGAAAGCCAAGTGGAAAGCCTTCAACTGGCCATTTTCGTGGTACACACTCCCACACCGCCTCAGCAAACTCCAACCGCCTCTCTGGAAACTCCCGCGGATCTGTTTGAAGAGCGCCAGGGGCTCTTCGCTGAGTTGGAGTCGGAACTCCGAGAATGCACTCCCTTGGTCAATGAGCCCAGACCTGAGGTGACCCTCGATGTGAGGCCGTGGTGCTTTGAGCTGGTCAATGGCGGGTGGTTGAGTTCAGTCAGGCAGTAGTAAGGCCAGGTATACGTATTAAATATATTCCCTAGGGATCCAAGTACCTTGTCAGAAGGTGATTGGAAACTGTTTATGTAGGTTTGGAGGGTCCAGTCGTAACTTCTGAGGATACTGTATATATTATGACAGACATAGAGTGTTTGGGTGCTGCTAAGAGTGTTTGGGCGTTGCATGTGGACACGTTAGGTGTTGTCTTGGATTTCGACAAAGGAACACATTTAAAGCGAGTGATGCCTGGAGCATGCACTGGGTACCCAATTGCAAGCCTTGGCGCGTCTACTTGTAAATGCAGTCGGAGACCCAGGCAGGATGGTGCTGGTGTGAGTTCTCGATCTGGCGAGTTTCCGAGCTGTAAAAGGTTTTCTATGTTCTTCTGAGAGTCTGTGTGGTGATCTGTGTGGTGACAGATTAGCGAACGGTCAGAATGGTCCAGATTGGTCACCTGCAGTGTGACGAGTCTTGAAAAAGCATCAGAGAAGTCGACCCCTTCGCACCTCGGAAGATGGGTATGAGCACCTGTCTTTATGGGGTCATGTCATGTCCCATATAAGGTACTTTCGAGGGTCCAGGTAGTTTCAAATGGCTCAACCATTCCAGAATTCCATGACCAACTCTCCAGCTCCTGAATGGTCTCATTTCAATCAGCTCCATCATATAGTCCCCTTCAACAACACTGACTATCAGCCCAGTTTCCTTCTGGGCACAAGTCGTGCAGACTCTCATTGATGAATGCATCAGAACTTTCATCCGATCAAGTATGCTTCTTCTTCTTCTCAGTGAAAGTATCGGAGAGGGTGAAATAGTGGTTGAGATTGCCCATGACTTGGAGAACACCACATCCCACATCACTCAATGGGCTGATGTCCACGACGCCACCAAGTGGTGGTTTTGCCAACGAGGAACGCGGAACCACATGGAAACAGGGCTTGGCGAGTCTTTTGACGACTTGTATTGACTACTCTCCACATCTCTCCACGTTTGAATTTCACTATGATTGGGTTGGTCGCCCGTTTGCCTGTTTGGGTTGGTTGCCACACAGAAGGATCTGCAGATCATTTCGCTCAACAAAGAATGCTCAACCCAACCTCTGACCACTGAAGAGTCCCCGAGTCCTGAGCCGATCGATCGATGCCAAACATCGAGCGGATCGGGCTTTCCACTGCCTTTCCCGGTGAACCTTTGGCTCGAGCCACTTAGCAATTCGCCCCGAAAAACGCCCGTCGACCACCGGCGTCGACGCATTGCGTCCAAGTCCACGATGTCGGAGGATCCCACCAACAGCTGGTCTGCCGTCACACAGAAGCAGGTGCGGTGCAGTTTTTTCGTGGCTGGCTGACTGGGTGGAAGGAGAAGATGTTGAGATCTTCATTTAAAGAAGGGATCTGGGAAAGTCGTTGCAGGTTCATGCTGCAAAAGATCGGGGACTGGGTATTTTCAAAGATCGGAACTCGGTTTTTCGACCTGTTGAGAGGTGTTCAACAAAGTTGAGAAGTTGGGACCGGGTACCAGAAGAACCCCGAAGACAAACTGTTAAGAAGTGATCATGTTTCATGACGAATGCCATGCCAGTTGGTTCGCTCCTCCGACGCACCCGGGTGACCCCGTGTTTTTCCACGCGTGGAGGACCTGGATGAGCAGACACTCAAGCAGAATGAGGTGCTGTTGGAAGCGATTGAGGCGCCATGGGCGGACCGTGTCGCTGGTGATGTAAGTGTCCTGGTTCCGTATACTTGCGAACCAGTTGACATGAGCTTCAAAGGCAGGTCGTTGGCGGGATGGAAGTGAGTTGCCGAAAGCCAAAGGCCTTACTGTAAGTTGTGCACCAATACTGCATGATTTATCATGTTTCCATGTTCAGGATTTGTGTTGTAGTTTTGGTGAATTCAACGGTCAGTCCACAAAAGGATGCTGCAATTGCAAGGTGAGTCATGGTGCCCCCCTTTTTAAATCTTTTTAAAGGGTAACTGGCCTTGGGAAATCTATGGACATTCATACCACTCCTGAAGCAAACTGTAGTAAGCTGGCCAACGCGGAAACTGCCGTGACTTGTGACTTGTGTGGAATTCCTTGATCTTTTTGGACCGAGTCGGTTCAGGCTGGTGATGATCAAACTTACCACGTCGTACTGGTCATATTTTCCGTGCTCAGCACTTAATCCTGCGAGGTAGGCACCGAGAGGTCCTTTCTCCCCAAACTCCCCCTGGCCGAACGGGAGGATGAAGGATCTGGCCTCTTTCGCCAGGCAGACCTCAACGCCATCGAATCGTGTATGGAGAAGGCTCAGGCCATTTCTACTGGAAGGATGAGCACATGTGTTTTTTCATGTTTTTTCTGTCAAAGGGCTAGCGCCGGCATGCAGATGACTATAAGCACCGGATCTGTGCTTCATGACATGTTCACTTTTTGTGGATTTCATACCTGAACGGTGTTGGGGGAAGCAGCCATCACCCCAGGCGCGCTATGAAACAGCACGCGCACGAATGGCACGCCAGCGCGAAGAGGGCACAGGTGTGGGGAGCGGGCGCGGTCAGTGGGGTGCTGGTGGGAAGGATGAAAGTGGTAGACGTTTGTTTACGCTCAGAACACTTCAATAGCTCGTTGGTTCCGCAAAAGTCCGACTTTGGACTGGTCCGGACCTCGTGGAGAAACAGGACGTCCTACCATGACCTCTTCATATCCCTTTATTACCCTATACGTACGTCCAGTTTGACCCAGTCAAATCTGGCCTTCTTTTCTACCTCGAGTCGTGTTTTTGTATGACCAACTCTGGTGAGGTTTTTGGACCTGTATAGGGTTATAGGACGTTATAGGGTTATATCACCTCCTTTCGGTGGAGCTATTCATAAGGGAGGTGTTTGGACCAGTGGATCCTTTGGTCTGGAAGAGGCTACTTCAGCGAACAAAACGGGTGTTTGGAGCCTGCTTTGGTGGGACGGGTATAGCGTGATCGCCAGGGTCGACCAAGGTCTGGAGCCATTGTTTTGGGATAGTACCCTTCAGCTATGGACGGATGGTATACTGTTTAATTACTGCTGATTTGACATTAGAACCATAAAGGTTTTACCTCATGGGTTTTCTAAAACAGGAGCTTATAGTTTTGGATGTGACTCATATCCCCCTCGGTGGCGTGGTTCTTGGGGGAGGAAAACCCCAAAAACTCTTCATGCTCAACTTGAAATGGCAAATGTTAGCTTGATGATACCATTCAAGGATGAGTTGTTTTTTTCATCCCTCTACTCTCGCCAGTCAGAAATTGGATCCATTTGCTCCATTACTACTCATATCTACTCGCAGGGAGATGTTGCGAAAAACACTTCGGTGATGGCCTTGGACAGCACATGTTCAGGGTCCTTCTAAATCCCCCCGGTGACGTGGGCGCCTGAAAAACCTGGGTTCGGCTCGGTGGAGCCCTGCCCCCTATCCCAGCCCAAGCAGCCTATCCGCGGGTGCTGCCTTGGAGGCACCCAACCGATGACCGAGTCGAAGAAGAGTCCTCACATGGCTCCCTCTGAGGAGAGATGTGGCGAGCTCGTTGGTTTTCGTTCCGTTCGGTGCGGTGTAAAAAGCGCGACCGAGTACTGCCGACGTGTTTGTGGTGTTTCTAACCTCTTGTAAACACTCAGTTCCAAGTAGTACGGGCCTGTAGGGGTGGTAAGTTATATATAGTTGGGAACATTAGATGTTGACCACTGTCCAGCTCCAAAGACCACACCACCCACCATCAGCCCCTCATAGACCCCTTCACCCACCAGCCCCGACCACACCAATGGCGAGGACCACCCCATTGACGAGGCCGAGGCTCTGCCACCTGAGGACCACAAGCACGAGCAGCCACGTTTGAGATGGGGATGGGATAGAAGTGAAGCAGACGGTTTTTTGAGGAGCTGCACATGGACGCGGGTCGATTCATGTGATCTGGAAAGACTCTTTTCTACAAACCAGTGTTGTTGTTTTTTCAGGGTCCATGTTAGTTTGCACAGGGTTGCTTTTGTTGTGATGGTGTTGTTGTTTTTTTTTGTGTTTCTGGTGTTGTTGGAAGATTGGGGCCAAGAACCCAGATAAAACCCGAGTGGGATAGATTTCTGCGTTCCATTGCTTTTGAGGGAGGGGATTGACTGCTATCATATTACTGGGGACACAATAGTCCATGCCTGTCGTTGCTTAAGAGTGCATGTTTGGGAAGATGTGCCGTTTCATCAGTGCGAGGATTAGATGGTTTATACGTATACGTACCGTTTATACTATATGCTTCTCTTGGGCTTGTGCAGCGCCAGCCTCTTAGATGATTTCGACCAATTCCGAGGGGTTCTGTATTGGTGGGCAGCTTTCGTGCCCAGAACATTGAAAGAATGGATGTGCTCTTGGCACCAACATGGAACTCCCCATTGAATCTCAAAATCTCTTTCTTGGTGTATTTGTCTCTTTCTCCACATTCCCGTCCTTTCAACAAAGTGTGTGTTTGGGTAGTCAAAAGAGGTCAAAAGAGGTCAAACCGAAGAGATCTGTTGGCCTTTCGGGGGTTCCGAAGACCAGTCAGCGTCCGCATGCACCCGAAGACCAGTCCGCCGATCCGATGGAAAACCGGGGTTTGCCCGGATCCGAGAGCGACCAAAAGCATTCCTCTTGTTTGTAGTTAATTTGCTCCCAGTAGTAATGCCCTAAGAGCTACTAGTAGCTTCTTGCTCCGTTCGTAGCGATGCCTTTTGTTACTGCTTGGTCTTCGAAACTTTGATTGTCATGGTCCTCCAAGTCGAGTTTAAGTCGATCACAAAGGGGCGGGGCGGCGGGGCCATTGGCCAGTCACGTCAACCAGATGCATGATTTCAGGGAGTATACATCAATGTGGATCCTGAGTTCGGGATGTTATATGGTGTTATATATATATGGATGTTGATGGGGGGTTGTGAAACCC